AGACATGCTCATAAAGATCGCCCTGCTGCAGCAGATTTGACACCCTTTTACTAACTGCCTGTCTGTCCATCTTTACAGGCTCTACAGACGTGGTCTCCTGTTCAGTTCATGGAGTCAGAGACCCAGTCACTGCAGCCCTGCACATCGTCCTGGGTAGATTCTACTTGTTCTTGATCACATTATCCTAGCTCCATAGTCACACTGGCTGTGGTGGGTTCTATTGGGTCTATAGTTGTGCTGCCTATAGATTTTGACAGTCTTGGATGACTTTTATATTCAGATTCCTCTGGTTGGTTCTGCATGTTCTAGATCTATAGTTAAGGACTCCTTGGTGGGTTCTGCCTGTACTGCTGTAGATCTGTAGTCATGTTGTATTGGATGGGTTCTGCCTGTTAGCTGGGTTCACCTGTTCTAGATCTGTAGTCAGGGGTTCTTCCTGTTTTACCCCTAAAGTCACATGGTCCTGAGTGGGTGTCATCCTGTTCTTCCTGGGTGGATTTTAATCTGTTTTAGATCTACATTTTCCTGAGTTGGATCTACCTGTTCTGGATGCATTCTTCCAATTCTAGTTCTATTATTAAATCGTTCTACCTTTTTTTAACCTGTGGTCATGCTATCAGAAGTAGGTTGTACCTTTTCTAGATCTGTACTAGAGTGCTACCTGTCAGATCTACACTGATGCTATACTGAGTGAGTTCTACCTGTTGTAGAGCTATAGTTGTGTCCCCATTGTTGTTTTTGTTTATATAATTTACTCCATGTGACTCACAGTGAGCCAGTCAGGAGTTTGTGCTGTTGCAAAGCTTCGATATGACTGGCTGACACTCCCTCAGACTGGCAGCATGGACACAGTTTGAAAACAGACGGCGTGACTAGACTCTAGAGGAAGGGCGCAAACAGATGTTTAATAGCACGATCAGTTTCACTCTAAATCCCAGATTTATGCTGCTCACTGTGGCTCTGCCCCCTTCACTTCTCCCTACCTTTTCTCAGGTAAACCTGCCGACCAATCAGCTGGCCACAGCACAGGCTGCAGTGTAATAAACGGTGTAAGTGGTGTGTGACAGATGGCAGTATTCAGTGGCTGTAATTGAACTAATTCCTGAACAATAGAAAACAGTTAAAATTCCCAGGCAGGAAGCAGTTCCCACGGACACCAGGTGACTACAGGTGAGGTCAGTTGTGAACATTCTATACCTAGATTGTCTGTTGTGATACCTCAGTGCGTGATATCATGAACTCTATGAAGCTGGTAAGTGATGGCCACATTATGTACAGTCTTTTGTAACCAGGCATTCGTAGTTTACATCGTTGCTTGGATACAGGAGGTGATGGGAGGGGCAAAGAACTGTTAGGAGCTGCTTACAGTGTTAGTTTGAATAGAGTCACACCCTCTAGGCCGAAAAGAAATTAGGTAGAGTAGCTTTAAGTACTGAAATATATGGATATATGACATTAAAAATTCTAAAATCTGAAATATCTTTCAGTAAACTGGAAACCCATAATGGTTATAATATGGTGAATGAGTTTAAACTCCACTTTCATTCAAATTAAGCCACTATAAAGCTTAACTCAAACAAGTGTTTAACTTAGCTGGTACGACCACTCATGAACTACGTTTTTACCTAACATAAAAATTTTAAATTTGAGAAGATTGGCGAATGTTACAAATTCTCTAAAATCTCTTGTACGTGTGATTTTAATAACAAATCTGTTCGTGTGACTGGTTCTTGATGATGATGTTTGTCCATATTTGTGAGGATCAGATCACATTTTATGACCAATTAATGCAGAAAGCCACTGTTGGTATAAATCCTTCAGAACATAAGCTGCCTCCTAGAATAATAACTTAACTTTGACTGAGGGGAAAAATATCATAATGAAAAACATGAGAAAAAAACTGAAGAAAACAAAAATATACATGATGAGACATGAAATACGCGATTTTTTTTATTATGTGCTGAAAACATTTTAGATAGTTTACATTCAGTTTGAAAACCAACCTTTCCAAATTTCATATCTGCTGTGAATTATCAGTGTAATAATGATTTTTTTAAATATATAAATTTATAACATAAACTCTCAAGCTGTTGTTCATGTGGTAAAAACAAATATAGGTTGGGCCTTTAAGAAGCACTGCAGGTTTGATCACTGACTGTTTCAGCTTTAATCCTGTACACACACTCAAAAACACACACACACAACATGCCATATGGTGAGGAAATCAGATTCTCTCCAGAGAGACAGACAGGTAGTCAGACAGACAGACAGGTGGGGAGACAACAGTTCGCTAGGTTACGGCAGGTATGTGGCCAGATGGCACACCAAGTGTGTGTATGTGTGTCCATCTGAAAGCTGATCAAGCATCTTGTTGAATGGTCTAAATGATGAAATAATTTTGACGGGCTTGATTATAGTTGTATTCCAGTTTATTCTGTGTTTCATACTGCGTTCACTGTCAGTAGTCTGAAATTGAGGTGAGGCTTTCACCTAGATTGTTGAAGAAAAAGAAACAAAAATCAGGACTCTGCTGGTGTTCAAAGCTAACAGCAAGTAGCTGTTGTTTTGCATATGTTTAGTGGTCCATCCATAGTTTACCGGTGAAATGAAACCTGTGCTGTAAAGAAGGTGTCATAGTTTAACAAAAGAAACAAATCATTCTTACAGAAATGTTTTTGTTCACATTGAAACCTTCATTAGCAGATTGTGTTTCCAAGAGGCTCAACAGCCTCATGTTTTTCCTGTAATATTTTCACAGAATAAAAGACACATAATATAGAATTAGTCATAAAGAAAATTTCCACCCAAAGTCGGGCAAGTCTTACTGCTCTGGAAAACAGAGTATAATTTCACCTTCACTTACACTCAGAGACTTATTTGGTCAGTCTACTGCAGGGCGTGTGTTCTCACTGAAGTTACATGGATATTAACACACACACACAGTCCTGACCTCTTTCTGTCACCCATATTTGAAGAACTGCTTTTCATGAATATTAATAAACCTCTCACCATATGACCACTTGGCCTCATTACAGGCTGTGTTTCTGTGAGGAGGGTTCTAATTTTTTTCTAATAAATATTCATCATTAAACAGAATCTTCTTCAAGCACCAGTATTTACCCCACCACCACACCCCCTCTCTGTAGGTCACCTGCAGCAGGTAGACATGTGCAGCTTCTGGTCTCAGGGCCAGTTGGTGCGTTTCGGCTTCTCCGCCCTGTTTGGATTTGGTGGGCAAAGCTTGGCAAGAGCGGAGAAGAAGAGGTGGATGCCATCATCACGGCGACGAGAGTACGCTCTGGTGAAGACACTGGCTAGACTGAGGTGACAAACACACATATTTTCAAGTTATATACAACACATATAACAGCATCCTGTTAATCCAAGGTCCAAATGTAGACAGGGTCGTATGTTTAACCTATAAATCTCTCAGAAATAAATCAGTGATTTTAAGATTACAAATAAAATTCACATAATTTAATATTTTGGACACCTAATAATCATCATCAGTTTATGTCATCGTTGACAAGTGTGAAGTCGCACAACTGCAGTTTTATGTAAAATGCCATACTGTGCATTGTATTGTGGGATGCTAAGCTGAAAGCAGTGCACATGCCATTTCGGGTCCATACACATTGAAATTTTAACAAAATGAAAAGTCAGAGGCTTATCAAAGTAATTTCAATTAATTAATTCATTCATTTATTGAACATGAATGTGTGCACAACATTTTATGGCAATCCCTTTAATAGTTATTGAGACTTTAAAATTTATACTACATTTAATTTTTTTCATATTTCTCTGTCTCCAACAGACCTGAGGACTGTCAGCTGTCTTTTCTACCAATAAGAGAGTCAACCAGGTATCTGTTTGATCATCAGTAAGAAACTCTCTTAATCTCGCACACACACACACACACACACGAGACAGCCAGTTTTAGGCCATCTTAAGACTTAGATTAATGCTTGATTTAATAACTAAACATTGTGAGATTATTAGCATGTCTGTGGTTCACTCCAAAATGAATACAACTGTCTGTCATGTTTAAAACAAAGTTTACTCTCCTCTCTCAGAGACCAGGACCAGGACCCAGACTCAGGTGAGAAAGATACTTGTCTGTTTTCAGATGGACAGACTTCCATCTCGGTCATCCAGTTTGAGTTACTGTTTGCCTTTCTGTGATTGGTCAATGCAGATGAGGAGAGGTCCTGGACAACCATTCAGGGCCTGTACCTGAGCATCAGCATCATGTCCATCCCATGTCTGAGTCCACACGTACCTCGAGGTCTGGCTCCCAACACCAGGTACACAGGTGTATGATGAGCAGCTGTGTTACTTCATCATGTTTCTGCTACTGACTGTACTTCTTCACTTACTGTGTGTGACAGTTTGTCAAATGGCAGTGCAGCGCTGATCACCGTAGGAAATACTTCCAGGTCAGAGTTCATCAAACACCTGAAGCGATACAGCAGCTCTAGTGACCAGGTGAGAGCAGCAGTGTCTCAGATTTTGAAGACAAAATAGAAACAACATCAACATTATTCAGGATTAGGTTAAGAGGGTTCAATATGGCTTCAATATCATTATCAAACCTAAATGCAGTATTAAGTTTACTTATTGAATCCATTATGTAAATCTATTAAGAGATGTTGCAATATTTGGCCAAAAAAAAAAGATTCCCTGCTCATTAAACAGTAAACAGACAGAGATGGAGACTAGCTGGTGAACGTAGCAGAGCATCCAGAAAATGATCAAGTATGTTTAAAGGATGAGATGAAGTCAAACGTTTTTGGTCCCAGGGTGATATTCATAAAGTACCCAGTAGTACTTAAAGTAATTAGCAGCACTTTATCATTAAAGTGATGTACATTAATGCATCAGTAATTACAATCCAGTTATATATACTGCATTACTCTAACATGGTCACTTTCACTTTTGGTGCTTTAATGGAGATTTGATGCTCATACTTTTGTACTTCAGTAAATTTTTAATTCCATATACAGTATGAGTACATGAGTATTTCTACACTGTTTTTTTCTGCTTTTTCTTACTAACATCTGAGTTCTTCTTCCACCACTACCGACTCTTGACCTTGTCATCCTCACGCTCCTCCTGTTACAGAGCAAACAAAAAACAAACTAGTTAGTGAGTGGATTAGCCTGGTTCAGCCTGACCTGCCCTGTCAGACTGCACACTAACCCACTTACTAAATATACTGATAGTCCTGCAGTGCAAACATGTTGTTTACTCACTGACCTACATGTCAGACATGACGAGATGAGGGTTTCCTGGTGGAGCAGGAGACATAAGTTCTACATATATTTTGTGTGAGGAATCTTAATTTGTATATTAACTGAAATTATTAAATTACATGTGGTGGAGTAAAAAGTAAAATATTATACTATATATCTCAGAACTATAGTGGAGTAAAATTATATAGTGCCATGAAATAGAAATACTTAAGTAAAGTACAGATACCTGAAAAACTGAATACATCCAGGATGTTTATTCTGTATAAAACTGGATGATGCACAGCTAAGGAAAAAAGAACAAACGTGAGGAGGAAAGACCAACAGACAGATGGACGAGACAGGCTGTCTGACTGTCTGTTGGTCTTTGCTGCCCCCAGTTGGAGCTCCCTAGTGTTTCAGTAGGGAGAGCAGAGGGCATTAATCAGGAAAAAGCCCAGTCTCTGCTGCAGATTAAAAAGCTGTTTAATGAGGATCTTAATGAGATTTTTTGAGTTGCCCAGGTGACCTCTGACATGCATACTGACACACTGCTATCTGTCTGTTTTTGTCTGATTGTCTGTCTGCAGTTCAGTTTCTCCTTCGTGGAGACGCACACCGTGTCAGCGGTGAGGATCTGCCCCCGGTTGCTGACTGAGTGGTCTGAGACAGAGAGTGAGGAGGAGGAGGGCGAGTCCAAATCCACACCCATCATCCAGTCAGATGGAAGCACCTTCCCCTGGAACATCGACGGAGAGCTGGTGGAGATTGCAAGCGAGGTGCTCGTCAGGTAAGATGCTCAACGATACTGAAAAAGTATCAGAAATATAGTGTAGTATTACACCAAGCAAAGCAAGGACTGCAACCAATGATTAATTCAGTTTCTGATTAATCAGCCAACTATCTTCCTGACACAAATTGTCACAAAACTGAAAAATACTCAACACAATTTTGCTACAAAATGTCTTCAAATTTACCTTATTAAAGGCCATAATTATTAAAGGGTCATCAGTAAGCTGTGTCATGATTTGAGTAACATATTAGTCAAGTTCAATTGTATTTATACTAAAGTAGTCACCAGGGTTGTCTTGAGTTGGGCTTTAAACTTTTCACAGAAAACACATTACAAGTTGAAGGTGTGGCAGCTCCCACAGATTACTTAAAATGTGGAGAAAAAGAACAAAACTATCAGAATGAACTGATACCACCAGGGGAAATTAGATAGTTTTCTTTTTGTGTGGTTTAGGTGAACTGACCCTTTTACCTGGTGCATAATCTTACATTTTTATTTCATTATGCTACATTATATTAAATATCAGAAACAAAACTCAGACCTCACACCTGTATCACCTGGCTCCTGAACATACTGTACGTCTGATTCCGCATGGTGCCTTCAGGGTCCACCCACAGCTCATCACTCTGTACGGGGAGGAGATGGACGAGGCCGAGTCGACTGTCTCCTGCAGCTGCATCTGAGTCCAGCAGTGGTCGCTCTGTACGTGCATGTCACCATGGTACCACAGTGACACAGCAGCGCTTTCTCTAGGTCATGACTGTTTCCACGGCAATGTACGAGAACTAATGCAAAAAGGCACAAAAGTAATGACAGAGCTTTGCTGCTTCCTGTTAAAGCTGCATTAATTGACTTTTTACAGGTTGATTAATTGATTCATTTTGTAGCTTTAATATTCAATAAAGTAATTCGTAAGATACCTTTAACTCGAAACTACCTGTCTTTGATAATTTTAATAATAAGTTTATAACTTAAGCAACTAATGTTTTACTTTCAAATTCATGTTTCCATTTTATTTTAATACTTTAATTTCATTTTTGCTGCTTTTTTTTTTATCATAATTTTGTTTTATTTTGTCCAGTTTCTGGTTCTGGAACCACAAGACAAATATTTATCATGAAATTGCCAACAATCTAATATATATAAGAAATAAATGGTGGAAATAAAAGATTAATTGACATGGAAATACTAAGATGAATCTGTAGCTTAATTTAAATTGTACACAAGTTAAATCTAAATCTGACACTGTGAGGAAAAGAAGCATAGGTACAGTTACTGATTATTGTGTTAATATTGTCTGTATGTATGCTGATGATAGTCGAGCAGTTTTTGATGCTGGAGCCAATCCCAGCCAGCATCGGGCGAAAGGCGGGGGACACCCTGGACAGGTCTATAACAGGACTGTTTGTACTAAATATTGATGTTTTTATGGAGAAGCTTTTTAAGATGTTTCTAAAAATGTAAATAACTGAGTCACAATTGTTTTCAGGGTGAGAAGAAACAAATACAAGTCGTTTTAAATAGAAAATCTTTGACTTTAATAGAATAGTATGGTTAAAAGCAGTGAGACCCTCCAGTGCGGAACAACTTTAAACAAAAACTGCAACAAATTAAAATATTTAAGACATCTCTGTGTAATGTGCATCTCTACTAAACAGATAAACAGAAGGGAGGCAGGTAGCTGTTTAAATGTCTGCATTCACAGAATACAGTACACAGTTAAAAAAAATGCTTCTGGATACTTGTAATACCTTAAACACTTTTTAAATGCTGATTTTCAAGTAGTGTTCTTTATTATTAAGCCCTGTGGGTTTAACCCTCCTGTTATGTTGCGGGTCAAATTGACCCACGAACATAACTGCTTTAATGTGTTGCAGCTTGTGTCTCCTACTGTGCCTTCACAATAGCTTAGAACCAGGTGACCAAAAACTTACACCTGGGTTAATTTGTCATATAATCTGGAAAAGCATTCTATAAATAAAGTGTGTTCCCATAACATTCATGTGGGTATGTCTAAAAAAAATACCAAAAACCATTCATGCCTTACTTGGTGTCACATGATTTGCTCCTAGGAGGGTTGTGGAAGAGAAGCACCTACAGACGGGCAACCTTTCTTGGGTCGTGTTCACGAGGCCCTGCCCGGAAGTACATTGTTCTTAATTTTTCCTGCACACACCAAAACAGTTTCCTGTTTTTCTGGTACGTATCCCTGAACTGGTTCCTGACAGTGGAGGTTAACAGCTGCACAGCAGACTAAACAAGTAAACAACAGATCAGAAAAAAAGTGTGAAGTCGCAAAGATGGTGTCAAGGCCCGGTCAGGCCAGAAAGTGGCACAGCGACATTTATCCGCACATCCTCAAGATGTTTTCTTTGGAAGCTTGTTGACACAGTGGCAGCTTTACATTCAACTAATTATGCTTCCTTCTATGCCCCATAAATGAACTAAGGACCATGAACTAAGAATGTCTAACCCCTTAAATGCATCTAAGCAGTGCTCTAGGCAATGAAGTGTATCCTAAGTTTTTAAGGACAGCAGCATGAATCTGTTTGTTTGGTTCAGGTTGTTGTGGAAACACCTTTACTGTAATACTCATACTACATGATTTGTACTGTAGAAAAGACAAAATACCTGTGGAAACAGGAACCACAGCTGAAATCATGAAAACATTCTTGGCAACTTAATTTTTTCATATTAAAAAAGGTTTTTCTTTTTTACTTCCACCAAGGAGGTTATGCTTTTTACACTTGTTTGTTGGTTTGCCCACAGCATAACTCGAAAAGTAATTCATTGATTTTGATTATATTTTGAACAGTACAGTAGGGTGTGGACCATGGAACGATCCATTACATTTTGGTGGTGATCTGGGACATCATGTCGATCCACAAATTTTTAAAATGGCATTATGGGGAAACTGAGCTGCTTCGACAGAGGTTTGCATTCTCTGAGTGCTGTCTACTTAAGTCTGTTTCATTGTGTATTCAGTAGTTGATTAAATAACTGCAAATAGAAGCCAGTCAGGAACATGCTATTACTCCTCAGTCACAAAAGCTCTTAGCACTTATTTCCTCTGTACTGGGCTGTTTATTCACCCCTGGCATTTTGCTCTCAAGATTGTACATCAATTAATTTAATTCCATAAATGCACAAGTGCTTCTGTCTCTGTTAAACCAGTTCCCTTTTGTGGAGCAGTTTATTCTCCAGCAGAGAAGATTGTATAAAACTGGATGATGCACAACTAATAAGCTACAACAGCTTTAGCACTGAAACTGTTTGTTCCTTAAAGGTCAACACTGTGTCTATTGGTCAACAAGTTTACAAACATTACACTCAACGCAAATAATTTATGTGGGTTTACTTCGCCCCTGTGAGCAAATCCACATGTGAAATTTTGCTATTTACAACTGCTGTGACCGGGCCTTTAGAGAGACAAAGTCCAAAAGGGGACAAAGAAGCAAGGAAAGGACAAAACACGATGATTATGTCCATTTTCTCTCTTCACTCCATGCACCAGCACATCCCAGCATCTGATGTGTGCAAGAGTCAATGGGCCAACACAGTGTGAGTCTGCTCAGTGTATGTGTGTGTGTCAGCAGGTTAACAAAAATACAGAAAAATATACACTGACAAAAAAGGAGATTTTCCAGAGACTTATGAGCCAATCAGAGGCCAAGTTTCTATCCCCTGAGATCAAAGGTCTCCATAAGTTATTTCCTTTGGTTTGTTTTCTCTTAAGAGTCAAAATAGAGGTCATCAGCAAGAGTGTCATGATTCCAGGAAGCTCTGAGGACTTCTAATTGGTCCAGATGTGACTGTTTCAGGTTTACCTCCCTTTGTATTATCCATCCATCCATCGCTGCACTCTTTGTCAAGTCTTCAAGCTCGTCTATAAAGGTTGCGGTCAGATTCAGGTGGAGTTCACTTAAGACGTCATCATGTGCCACACTCACAGGTTTGTACTGAAACCAGCAAGGATGACTTCAAACTTCTGACAGTCTGGACAGATGCCATTGGTTGATGATGTTCACCATCCACCAGCACTCACTGTAGGTCTCATTAAAACAGTCAAGATGTGAACTCCACCTTATAGTCAGGGGGTCATGGTCATAGATTACCATCAGGATTAGGAAGTGCTCTCCCTTTTGTCGTTTCTAGGAACATAGTCCCAGCTGTCTCGGTTGGACTCCTGCTTCTTCTGGAAGCTCCTCTTAAAGAAACCAGCCTTAGAGACAGGTGGACAGAGGGTAAGATAGAGAGTTATGTTGTTATCTTTGTGTAATTTATCCATACATTATATATCCATATATTAGTACGCTTATATTCTAATCATTAAATGTCATCAAATCAAAGATATTTTTTATCAGAAGTGTTTGCTAAAAAAAGTTAATTACCTTCCACAGACACCAGATGAGAGCAGCCAGGATCATGAGACCCAAAACTAAACTGACAACGATGATAAAGACCTTAACTGTTGTTGAAGGTTTCTGGGTGAAAAGAGCTTCCACCACCACCTACAAATGCACCACATACAATGATTATTACTAACATCCTGAGTATACTTGCAGCAGTTTACTGTCACATTAACATTTAACAATGCCAATAAGGCTTTCATGGCGCACTTCAGTGAGTTGTCTCTAACACAGCATTGTATTTAATAAGCTTATGTGCTTTTATTAATGTAAAATCTTTGCAGTAGATTAAAAAAGTAAAGTATTTCACTCTGAAGTGTTGTGGAGTCAGAGTATAAAGTAACATCATGGAAATTTTCAAGTACCTCAAAACAGTGCTCAAGGACAGTATTTGAGTATACTTTCCACCACTGCTAGTTGCTCCATTTTTATTGTCTGTTACAGAAATTTATTTCCAGGATGTTTCTCGATGAAAAGAGAGCTGATGATGATGATGCAGTGTGAGCCTGATTAACCATCAGCTCCAACAACAGTGTGAACACAGATGACTTTGATTGGCTGCAGGGTGTTTTACCTGTGCTATAGGTTGTTCCTGGATGAGGATGGTGTGAGGATCTTCTCTGGGAGATGAAATCATCGCTGTGCTCTCCAAAATCATGACACTATGTCGACCCTGACACCAAGACATGCAGACAGACACCAGGTTTTTTTTTTTAAATGTTTCTCTGAATGTGAACAGTCTGATTATGTTTCAGTAGATAAACCTCTGTGGATGATCAGGAGAGAACAAGCACATTTCAGTGTTGTAGAGCTGTTAATGCATGTAGCCCCTCTCAAACATGGATCCTTTATGTTAAACTCATGGTAGTCTCGTGAAAAAAGCACCCTGATAATCTTGAAATGAATATTCAGCAAAATACTTTAGATATATATACAGCCTATGAGCGTAGAAGAATTAACTTAACATCTTGTCATTCAATGACTGTGCACTTGTCAGACATTGTAAAAAAAACAGCAGAATAACAATAAATGATGAAAATGGGGTGTGAAAATGCATGTAAAAATGCGCCCCCGCTTCTCATATTGAGAAGCGGGGGCGCACGAGTGTCCCTCGTGCTCACAGCAGTCATTATCAGAAACACAACCTGTGAGAGAACAGGAAAATCATCTTCCTTTGATGTTCTAACAATTCAGTGCTGTTCACACACTGTGCAGCGCTTTCTGTAAATGTCCTCTCACATCAGAATAAAGCTGCAAAGGAACATTCATTTGTGACTTGAGAAAAGCTGCAGTACAAGACATGATCACATGATCAACAAAAGAGCAAGTGTACTATATTTATCAGTCTGTCTACAGACTGATAAATATATTGCTCTTGCATTTAGAAAGACTTAATTGGCAAGATATGGATTAACCACTGCCATCAGTGCTTGTGTATTCCATCTTAGATTTTCTTACTTGTAATTTTATATTGTTTTTATGTGCAAAGATATGCTATATTTTTGATATTTGTATTTGAAAAGTAGCTTGCTTCAAATTGTGCCTTGGTGAATAATTATTTTTAAATGAAGTGAAACTCAACACTTCTAGAAGCTTTTTAATCTTAAAACAAATCTGTAAAGAGGCTGCATGAGGTGTTGCAGTAGAGACACTGACTATCAATCAACTTAGGCAGATTTTAACTTAGTTTTGATCTGTGTTAATCACTGTCTCATCGTTTCTTCACAACCTGCGTAGTGAGAACAGCATGTTAACAGAGAATCGGTTCCAATCCTGTCAGTGTCTACACAGGCTTACTATTGCTGAGCTCTTCTGCAGAGCTGATTCAGTCTGAGTAAAAACAATAGCCTGTGTGTTACCGGAGCTTGCAGCAGTACAGCAGGGTTCAGTCTGATCTCCAGTTGGATGGTGGCATCTCTCCCTGCCTCCAGGGTACCCAAACGACACACCAACTGCTCACACAGATCATCCTTACGGCCACAAAACTGCACACACACAGAAAAACACTGAAGCTCCTACACTGAAACTGTAATCAGGGTGGTGGAGTGATGATGATTCACTCCAACTTCAGCATATCAGGTTCTCAGCCACTAAGTTTTAGCCACGCTACCCTGGCTTTAGGAATAACAAGTTCTGTTCAACAAAATATCCCAACAACTGTTAGATAAATTGGAATCGGATCAATGGTCCTCAATCCTGTTCAAATCAAATCTCTGGCTATGTGCTCACTGTCAGAACAGTCAGATCAGAATTCATGCAGTTTGTTTAATGGCTCGCTCCTGTTTCAGTTTGACAGTTATTGTGAGGGCATTTTGACTGGTCCTGCAATTTTAAAAGACTGTTTGAAGGTTAAGGTTGGAATTAAGTTTTGGTGTGTGTACCAGTCTGCGGGTGGTGGTGGAGGAGAAGAAGAAGACGAGTTGTTTAATGATGGAAGCCTGAGGGATGTCACAGTCATCAGTGACTGAAACAGTTGTGTCACTGACTGAACACACACCATGAGACGACTGTGAAGAGAGAGAGAATTATTTATATACATTATAAATATATATACTCTATTACCACTTATGCTTTTAACTCATTAAAGTATTCCAGTACCACTACTACTGTTACCACAACTACTCCTGTACTTTTATTGCCAATGCTAATACAACTTCAACCATTGCTACAATCATGACCCAGTCAGCAACCACCATGACTGAGTGTTCAAGCCAGTGGACAGGTTTCATAAATAACTGCCATAAACCCAAAACCTATGTGAATCTTAGGCCTGGTTGTTACATGTCAACACCTTCTGTGCTACTGAGTATCCATAGGCATAGTGCACATCAAAAACCTTTAAGTTCCTTAATGTCTCGACTAATTCTTGGTCTTAATTCCTGCTTTAAATACTTTTTTTCCGTTTTAAATTATTTTATTTACTCAAAGCTCTTGTAGGGCTACTCATTATTACACAACATTTAACATTTGGCTTCTTTTGTTAAATGAAAAAAGTTATTTAAGAGTTGTTCCATTCAGAAATTAAAGCTTAATAAGAGATATATAGGAACATGTTTGCACTCATTACAAGTATCAAACAGCCTATCACACTCAGCCATGGTTTTTGCAGGTTGCTTTTCCCACCTCACCTCCAGCCCTTTTTACCCTCTGGCTCTAGTAACTGATACTCAGACACCAAAAAATGAAATGTCTCTTCAGAAACCTATGAGAAGCCACACAGATACTACTAACAAATTTTATTCTGACTCTGGTTCTTTCTCTGCTAAAACTGGTGCTGCTGCTGTATTAGACGTACCTGCCAGTCAACCACCTGCAGCAGTCTGTGTTGGTAAGGTGCGAGGATCTTCGGTAATGCGATGTTAACCACAGTGTCCACTGACCTGCTGGGACCAGAGTTTAACACCTGCAGACAGACAGAACAACAGATATGTGAGTCAACCTTCAGACAAAATCGAGACAAATGTTCACCCCCACCAAACCCAGGATGACTATTATTGTCTTGGACACTGAGTTAGCTACAGCTTGAGCCTTGTTTTGTAACCTTGCTTACATATTTGCACATTGACACAATTAAAAGGCATGCAGAATTAGCTAATAGGTGTTACTTTTTCCAGTGTACCCCTGGTTGTACAGGCAACTATCACTGGATTACTTTCATACTGAAACAGACTTAAAACATGATTCTCAGGCAAGTTCTGGCATTAAAAAGATTAAAAGGAGCACCTTTTGCATCATTTCTAAGTGGATGTATAGATGTTTACTTTAGATAAATAGTGTAAGTAATACTAAATATAAAACTAGGTGCATCATTTCTCTGTGCTCAATTTTGACTGAGTTATAACTCAGCAAAGAAGTAGCTTAAGTACCTTAACTGCATCCATGGCTGTGTCACAGCCACTGTTGCAGCTTCATCTGTTGACTGTGTTGATAATCAGGTCAAATCAGAGGCCAAGTACTTCTCTAAGTAAATAAATAAGTAGCAAATAACTTCCCAGGCTGCCACCACAAGCTGTGTGGTGGCAGCTGATCCTGTTGTGCTGCAACATAAATAGGAGTGTGGGGAAAACTGCACAAGCACTTTCAGTGGGCCTTAGAGGTTTTGGCAAATCACCAGAAAACTCAGAAAGTGGAGAAAGGACCTTGTCAGGCTGTTTTAGTAGCAAAGGAGAACCACTGACCTGTACTGGGTGTTTAATATAGCAGAAGATGTGTTCAGGCAGACCATGAAGCATTGTCCATGCTGGCTCACTCTCACAATTTAGCGAGACACTTAATGTGACTTTCTGACTATGGCAAGTCAAAATGTCTGCCGTGAAGGTCTACTCTCCAGTGGCACAAATTTACACATTCAAGTTCACTAAAGTTCAATGAGAAATGATTGCGTAAGTTTACTTCCTCTGTGAATGTATCCGCTCTAATGAACTGACTGTTTTAACTGTTGGTGTGATCAGGCCTTAAGTGCGTTATCATCTTATCGCAGCACATTTAGGGAGGAAATTAACATCACCCTGAGTTGCATGCATATTTTACACAACTAAATTTGGTTTTGCTGTTACTACCATGCTTGTTTGATATTTAATGCTTTTAATGTGAAGCACTTTGTAGCTCTTCAAAGTGCAGTCACCCCAGTTAGTGCTGCCTAGAGCAAATTTATGGCTGTTCAGACCCAATCACATCTTTCCATTGACTTTGCATGTGATTGTGCTGTGTTCACATTTTGATTTTGTTTGAACACACCTAAAGAAACATCTGAACCAGAGTGACATTCACCTTGTATGTATAGTTGAATCTTTCAGTGTAGCAGTCAACTGGATTTGAGTCTTCATCTCCAAATATAAAAGAGGTGGGAGTCACAAAACTGCAAACAGACAGACATAGAAGAGTTTTAGCTGCAGCAGCTGCAATATTAATAGCAACATCTTTTAATGAAAACTTTTATTGGACAGCATATGCTGAGTTTACTTCAGTATTTTCATTTTGATGATCTTTTATCTTACATCACAGGAAATTAGATTTATCATAAAATTTTATTATTTTAATTTGCTGCCTTGTGTAAAACAAGTTATCTATAAATAAATAATGTATTATTATTTACTTTAAGAAAGAGAACAATACTGTAGTAATGTTTGCTGACCCACCCATGGATGTTGACACTGACACCATATTTGAGATGTAGAGGGAGACTGATGGAGTTGTCATGGAGATATTCCTCACTCTCATAGTTATCACTGAAGGGAAAACAACTGATTACTTCATGTAACTGCACCCAACTGTTTGTGTTCTCAGTTTGCACATGTATAATTGCACATTCATGTTTGCGCCTGTATAATTGCACATTCATTGCTAACTGTTGCACATACAGCTGATGTAGCGTATATTCTTATATTTTTATTATATTTTTCACTTGCTGTTTTTTTTTAAGTGCCTTTATTTTGTATTATTACTTATCCATTTTATATTTATACTTTATATTGTTTGGCATTCATTGTGGATAGCAAAGGAAGAATTTCAGTTTTTGGGGGCTTTCGGAAACCCTGGGGAGGAGGGACCTTACCTGCTGGTGTTGACATGGATGTCAATGTTACCAGGTGTGCTGTTCTGGCTAACGTCCAATAGGAAGTTGATATTCAGCTACACGAAACAGGAAAACATTAGTAACTGAACATTCACATTTTAATCTGAATGGACTGCCTTGAAATATGGTTCAGAAATTTGCATCTTTCTCTGGATGAATTCAAATCTTTTTAACGATTCTCTGAAGTGTAAAACTAGAATTACCACCTCCACCAACCGGTCAAGTTGCAGTTTACATGCATGTCTGCCCAGACTCATACAATATATTTAGAGAAGACTGAGGGAATTTAAGAAATGATATTAAGTGGGGGTTTTTTTTGGCAAAATAGAAATTATCACTATAATGAGATGTGATTCTAGTGAAGAATTTCCAGTGAGAAACATACAGTATGTCTTCACTTATAGACTAGTATTACATAGGAGTACAGAGGACTGATAGGGAGCTTTGTCATTGTCCCTCAGTCCAAATGGGTGTTTTTTCAAACAAATTCCCTCAAGGTGTTCCTGAGATATTGTGCTCCCAAGAATATGATGGACAGACAGACAACCCAAAAATATAATGCCTCTGGCCACAGCTGTTGCAGGTACTGAGGCATAAAAATACCTTCAAAACTTATTCCCAATTTCTCATCAGCCTCTCATGTACTTTGTACTAATTAGCTACTATACGCATGCTAACAACTAAGATGCCAACTATGACATTACCTTTTAAACATCTGGATATTAGTGTGCTTACGATCAAAGAACCACTGTAAGAGTGGGGCCTCATAGAGGGCTAGCACTGCTGTAGACTCTTATTCTTGTTACAAGACATTTCCAGTAGCTGTGTGTAACTGATTGGCTGAGGCTTACCTGGGCAAGGCCTGGGAGGAGGAGGCTGGTAACGCGGCAGTCAACAACCACCATCGTACTGTTGACTTCCTGCGTGACATCACAACTGACCATGTTGTCCTCCTGCAAAACCAACAGCACACAGGCAGTTTGTTATGTGTACATAGTTTAATGAGTAATTCGTTGTTAAAGTTTCCTTACAATTTTCAGTAATTATCTCTCTTTGTAGTCATTTTTATTGTTTGTGTTAGAGTCTGCCATTCTCGTACTGGATTAAAACTACCTTCAATACACAAGGGATTCACATGAGCTGTAGTATGTTACTGCTAATGTAAACAAAACATGTTGTACAGCTGCTGCTTCACAAAAACATTCAACTGGTGAAACACAGAGTGGCTTTTATTGTGGAACAGTCACAGGAAACACAATGTGTTTGTCATTGAGGTTATTGCTGTGACCATCATAAAAAGCATCTCGAAAACAAGACAACCATTTTCTATCATTTGAAATATTTCAAGGGGTAATGGAATAAGAAAAAGCAACAAGACATCTCAAAGTGTCTCATGGCATGACAAAAAAAAGTCGTTGACTGACATCTTTGTTAAATCAAGACCAGTTTGTTTGGCTGCACTGAAAAATAGGCTGCTCTTCTTTTGTATTGCTGATAAAGTAGCTACGCGACATTTTTTGTAGTATAAATACACAGTTGCCGTCACAAGCGTTATTGAATCAACCAGAATTAGAATTTTAAGGATTATAGCTTTACAATCATTTCCTCAAGCAGTCCCATCAGCATGACATTAACTCACGTTCTGCAGTACTTTAATGTAGTGGATGTTGTTAGGGAAATGGAGTGTCAGCCGTGGCAGGAAAGCGTCATCTCCAGAGTTCAGCAGCAAGGTTTTCAACATGATTGTCTGTCCAGAGCCTAGAGCAAAGTACTGCTGCTGACTGAGGACAAACAACAAGAACACTGAGGTTCTAGTCAGAACCAACTTCTTCCACAAAACAAACATCTCCCCAATAAGAAAATGAAAAATTCTGATACTATGTCTTATATGCTATGATATGCTAATTCACTTTCTTGTCAAGAGTGAGATGTCAAGATCAATATCACTCTCTCTGCCCGTTACGAAACTGTAGCCAAGAGTTGGTTAGCTTAGTTTAGCATTAAGACCAGAAGCAGGATTAACAGATAACCTGTTTAAGGCTATAGGCTAACTCTGCCTAACTCCAGCTCCATACTCAACACACAAAGATGAGATTAATATTGATAAATATCAATAAGAATATTTCACAAAAAAGTGAAGGGGCTGTTTTAATTACATTGTGATCTACTGTTCATATATTGACATTGTGCTAGAACCAAGAGAAATGCAACCCTGCTGAGTGATGTTGTTTGAAAGGAATCTTCCTGTTTTGTGTTAGCCTCTGTCAGGGAAATAACATTTTTAGTTTTAGAAAACTGAATAACCATTGTTGGATTTTCTTGTGCAAAAAACACAATTGAAGAGAAGTCAACATTACTATGACCTATGTGTCACTTAGTGTATGTTCTAGCTGTATTAATAAATTACAATACTGCTGTTGTTTCAGTCTATTGCTCTCTGTCTCTTTTCTTCCAATTCATACACAACTTCCTGCTGTGTATGTTATGTGTGTGTTCTTACTGTGGCAGCAACAGTTCAGCTGACAGCTGCATGTTGGTCGAACAGTTCACCAGAGAACAGGAACGAGCAAACCAAGTCTGACAGAGAGAAAGAGGCAGCAAGTTTACAGATGACATCTATTACTATAATAATGAACTGACACCATTACAGATGACTTCTGTGACCTCTGACCCCTGAGCTCGGTCTTCCAGATGATGAATAATGTCTTGATGACTAGCTCCAGCTGTAAAATCCTACAGGCTACCTCTTAACTCTGCTTTGATTTTATGAGTCAGTGGGGCATTGGACACAGGATGAGCTGAGCTAACTGATGTTGGTTAATGAGCTGCAGCTGTAAACACATTTGGGTTAGCAGGAAGTCACTATTAGTGTGTGTGTGTGTGTATGTGTGGGGTGGATCTGAAATCAGATTAGCAGTTTCCTTCCCTTGTTATCCAAGTTATCACATTAGTCTTAGTTAAAGGAACAGTGTTGCCAACTTTTGCATTAGATTTGGTGGCTTTAAAACCCTTATAGCAACTTTTTTCCCACCACAAAATGCAAAATGACAAATCTGGCTAGAAATTAAGTCCTCCTGCTTAAATAAAATTGTTCAGGGAATTCCCTCTCTATTTTTATTCCTGTGATGTTACTTGACCATTTAAGTTATATGTTTTGTCAGAATACAAAAAAAACTTATAAGAGTGAGTTAATTCAGGAGTCAGGATCCTCTCTGTTATACAATCTAAACAACAACCTTCATAAAAAGTGGGATAAAAGTCAAATTTGTTGACCTTTGACCCAAGTTGCACTGATCTCTTATTAAAGATGGAGGTCAAAATACCAGTCTATACAATAAGTGTGTCTATACAACAACAAATCATGAATATCGAGACTAAACAAAGCATATGAAATATTATTTAAGATTCTGCTTCTAGGTTTGTTACAAAGACACAGTTTGTATGTTCTACGTCTTTCAAAACGTCACATTATCTAATAATCAGAATAGATTATAAACCAGTAAATGATTTGAAGCTTGGGGTTTTCAAAGTGTTATTTGCCAGACTTCTCCACTCATCCAAAAATCCTGTGCAGAGCAAAGAAGCAAGCAATTTGTGTTTCTGTTATAATGTGAATATTTGTGAGACTTAACCCTTTTCACAACTTGTTAGTACTAACTACTTTAGTTATCTGCTACTGTTCAGCCAATTATTCTGTCAAGCTGTTGGTACTGACTCTTTGTCCTCTAGTTAATCTAAGAAATTATAGGTAACAGAGGTCTTAAGGCCTTGTACAAAGATTCAATCAGTTATACTTTAGTAGTTGTAACTGTGACTGGTATTAGCACTAACCTGTGCCTGGTTGGGTTAACCTAGATGGTAGCTAAGTAGTTGTTGTTAACACTGGTCAGTACCTGATTGGTGACGGTGTTCTGGGTTCCTACGCCCTGCTGCAGAATGGGTTTTAATGGAGGGAACTTTTTGTGAGGCGCTCTGTGTGTGTTTGTTTCTCTGAGACTATAGGAAAGCTCAAACTGAACCGGAGTAAAAATGTCCTTCACATCTTTCTGTAGGTGGAAGAGACAGACACAGAGAAGAAAAACTTTTTTAGTATCACTACAGTTATTAAAGTTAGTCAATTTTTTTCCACTGTATGTTTTTGCATATGTGTGCAAGTGTGTTACCCTTTGGTAAGCCACATGTGTTCTACAATTTTGCTGGCCATGTTGTGCTTTCACATGCCCCCTTGTGCTATTGGATGACCCATTGCCGTGGAAATAGAAACGGTGAGGAAAGGATGGTTTATGGAGGAGGTCAGAGGTCAAATTATATTCAAGGTCTGAAAAAGAGATGAGAAAAAAATCTTAGATATCAGTAGATAAGTTGTTCATTCTTAAGTACGATCTAACTGACCACCACCTAAATCAGAGTGGGACAAAGAAAACTGTCAGATGGGTTCGAAATCAGCAGGTTGGGTCTAAAATGATAAACTAGCAAACTGGACCTAGAGTCTTATATACCAAATAGTTGCATTTACAGTACCTATAACTCCTTTGAACTGCTTGGACCTGACACTGAAGCACACAGTGACATTGAAGCACACAGTTGGAGTTCTGTGCTCCTGACACAGCGCCACCTGCTGGTCAATCTGCTCAGGCAGAGTCAAAAACGCCTTCACCTGAACCACCGGACGGGCCCTACAGCACACAGTGAAATAATTACAACATGCTGACTGGACTGAACTGCAGCCATATCATTCTTTGTTGACAGTTTTTGTATCTCGATTGAAAACAGTAAGTGGATTTTATTATTTACGTTCATAATCTGGAACATATTTTCCCTCAAAGCAAAACATTTTAAAGAAGCCGAATATATTAAGATCCTACTTCCCCTGCAGAATAATTTACTTCCAAATCAGCTTTAGCTCTTTACACTTCTGTGAATGGAGGCAGAGCTACAACTGGAACATTTCTAGTTCCTGAACAGAAAGTTTCAGTGGAGTTTTACCTGAGAACCACAGCTGAATCTGAGAGGAATGCACCAACTGCCACATCTGCAGAGACAGAAAGAGATTAACCTGGTTTAGAGGACACCTAATGAGAACCCGCATGTTAAATATGGCAAATTGTGTGATGAAGGAAATGGCTTTTGTAAGAGTTTGGGTTACCCTGATAGCCGTTATCATCAATGTCAATGCCAGTGCTCAGTGACTGGCCAAACATCCTGAGGGTACGACCCAGTGTGGATCCAGTAATCCTCTAAAAACACACACCATGTTAGATATCAAAAAACCAAAGTGTAGTGCTTAGGCACAAATTTCAGGTGTTTGTACCCAAGTATTTCCATTGTGTGGCAATTTATACTTCTACTCTAAAACATTTGAACGATTGTACTTTTTAATCTACTACATTCATTTGACAACTTTGGTTACATTACAATTTCAGATTTTACATACAGTAAAAAGCATATGAAAAAATGTCCAATATAAAATTTGAGCTGATTAATCACTTAGTTGATTATTTAATAAAAAAAAAAAACATTCAGCAATTGTTTCGAATATTGATTAAACATTTCTTATTCTTCTGAACGGTCTTCTTATTGACTCTACAGTAAGTAGAATAATTTTGACATGTAAAGGTGTCACTGGTCAACTTTGGGTAATTGTGATAGCAGTTCTCTTTATGTCTTTACATTTTACAAACCAATCAATCAATCAATCGTGTATAGCCTCAGGCTCTATTAGTCTTCCATACTGTACATTATATTATACAACAGGTCAAATATTTGGTAAAATGTAGGAAGCAGCAGATATCAATCTACAACACATTCCCAGTTCTGGTGTGGACAAGAAGTTGAACACACTAAAAAAATGGAGTTGGAGCACTTCCTTGATGGTCATGAAGAGATCAAAGGAAACATCGTTCCCATTAAAAAATATGAAACTTATAAAATAATCCTATGATTCCCCAGCATGAGTAGTAGTAATAGTACAAGTAGTAAATTGATATTACTGTGATACACAGGTCTTCTGTATTAGTATTGGAGTTTGTACCTGAGATGGAGTTGGTGAGATGCCCTCCTTCCTGCCATTGTAGATGTAGACAGCTCCTTTTAGGTCGTCTTCATGTGGGGCACCAACCGCCACATCTACAAGCACACAAATGCTAATATAACTGTCTCCTATATTCTCCTAAACAAAGTCAGGGAAATAAGGCTGCATTCATAGTAAAAGTAGTATAAATCATTAAGATGAGTCAATGAGCTTTTTATGTTAAGGTATTTGCAAGGACTCTTGCTCTCTCTATTCAATAACCCATTAACCTACTGTCAACCTTTAGCCTACAAATTGTTTTCCTTCCTTCCAGGCAGCCATTGGTTTATCCTGATGTTCCTATACGTCTTTCACCCAGGCTTGAAGCTTGCTGCAGATCTAACTGTTTAGTTACCTACAGTATAAACTATATGCTGTAGGTCTTGCAGCTATTTTATTTTTAAGAGACAAATTCCAATTTAGATCTTTTTTTGACAAAAAATTGATGGCAATCCATGTAATGGTTGATGGGGTATTTCAGCCTCAACCAAAATGGCAGACCAACCAGCCGATGTTGTTGTCCACTGGACCCATGCCACCAGCATGGCTTAAGAAAAAAATATCTAAGTAATTAGAAAATGTAAAGACCTTCTGTTTGGTCTGGACTTTTGACCTCAGGATGTAAGTGTCCATGGTTTAGTGCATAAACATGAGAAAACACCAGTGTGGTCCTTTAATATTTAACCGGAGTCTTTTGAAGATGTGAAGGTCTGAAAGTCAAGCAGTTTTTTCCTACAAAGAGCGAGGTACTAGAACACACACAAACACACATCGCTGACCCTTTTATCTAGCTGTGGCAGATTAGAAGGCAGGTTCAGCTACAGTTTGTCATTACAGTTTTAATGAACTTAATAACACACTCCACCCCTCATTCACACACACACAGAGCCTGAAAAGCCTAGATATAAAATATCACTGAATATTAATGTATTTTAAGCCAATAATATATTTTTTAAGGATCCTCCCTCTCTTCTTATTACACTAATGTCAAGTATAGCTAAAAAAAAAAAAAAAAAAAAACACCTACTGCAGAGGCACCAATATGTTTTGGGTGTGTTTCTGATGTTTTTGCAGCAATGGTCATGAAAGTATTGTAGTAGCATTAGTAGTACTGTAGAGTAATTTATGAGGTAGTACATCTGAGTGTGGGTCTGTCAAGAGTTTTCTTTTATCAAAGGGAGTTTGTCCCCTCTACTGTTACCAAGTACTTGCTCGGGGTGGATCTGTTACGTTTTTCTTTTCTCTGTAATACTGTAAGGTCTAGACATTACCATGTAAAGTGCCCAGAGATGATTGTTGTTGTGTATTGGCATGATACAAATAAAACAGAACTGAACAGAATCTGGCTCAACAGGGAAAGAGCATTGCTGATGTCGCCTTGAGCATTGAAGTGAACCCCCACCTAATCAACTGGAGCTGCTCAGCGGGTAGATGAAGACAGTATTACTGCTACTATGACTACTACTGAAGCAGTAATGGTAGAGCAAGCTCTATAAGTAACATTGGTGACAGTACTATCAGAAATAGTACCAGAAGAAGTAGTTTTTGGAGGAGATATTAACAATAACAGATGTATGAGAGGCAGTATCTGCAGTGATATTAGCAGCAGCAATAGTAACAGCAGTACAATACTAGTAGAAGGAGCAGTAGTAATATTCACAGTAGTAGACGTAGTTATTGATCAGTTTGGAAGAACTGGGAGTATTTTGCAGTATTTAATAGCACAGCAGCAGTAACAGTTATAGTACTGTACTGGCAGTGGGATTATCAGCAGTAATACTAGTAGTTTAAGTAGAATCAGCAGAAGCTGTATAGCAGCAAAATAATTTGCAGTGGCATAAGCAGGTGTGATTGTTACCATGGTAACCGTCATCATCCAGGTCTCCCAGGTCAGCGATGGTCTGTCCAAACCGGGCAGCGTATGCGTTGCTGCCATTCAGCTGGAACTCCGCCTCCAAAAGCTTCGCCTGAGACAGAGTCATTTTGTGAGGAAACAGAAGACAAAACTGGATCACAGAAAGTTTTTTCACTGAAGACATTTTGAAAAACACAGGTGTAAATAATTAAATAATGATGGCTCAGTTCCATTTAGACATCATTAGTTATTAGTAAAACTTACCTTTCCTGCAGTGTCAACTTATCTGCTGCGATAAGGCCTCTTTCAAACTACATGTTAATAACAAGCTGGTTTTTACAATATAGTAGATTCAAACTGGAACAAATATCTTTAGTGTTAGGAACTGCAATGTCTTGATTTGCTTGTACTGATTGGTGTGTTCAACTGCACAATATGCCCCACTAAACTGTCAGGCAAAGAGGGAAGATCACATTGAGAGTTAAATAGCGCAGACTTTATTCCCTGCTGACTAAAAATGCTTATTTTACTATGATGAATGATGAAGAAAATTATCAAATCCTCACATTTAAGAAACTAGAACCAACAAATGTTTTGGCATTTTTGCTTCAGAATGGTTAAAATGATAATTAGACAAAATAACTGCAGATGAATGTTCTGTCAATAGACTGCTGTCCTAATGCTGAGTATTCTATGCCATTAGTATGTGGTATGAAACTGGGACTCAGCAACACACAGCCAAACCTGATCCCACTGTTGGCCACTGGTTTGTGATACAATAGTTGGGAGTGTGTGCATGTGCTCACCTGCCCCTGGTTGATATACACATGGACTCGACCCTCCTCCCTGGCGATGCCCGTTGCCATGGGAGCACCAACTAACAAGTCTGACAAACCGTCAGCATTCAGATCCACCACGCATACACTGGAGCCAAAGTAAGATCCCAGCTACACAAACGCACAAAAAGAAAACCATATGTTTTCCTTTGTCTTGGACGGAGGATGCTTATGCTAAGTAGTGTCTTACCTGTCTTCCGGAGACTTCAGAGACAACTCGCAGCATGGTGTTTTCTACTGTGAAGATGAAGACCTGCACATCACAAAGACACACACACCTCAACCATCACAGCTACATAACACAGCACACAATATCAACCCTAAAAGTCACAACCTCATTAAGAGGAAGTCAGGTTGAGACTAACTGTCTTGACATTGTAAAAATGCCTACAATTCAAATTAGTCCAGAAGTCCAAACAGATTTTCGGTAGTTTTAACAAACAAACAGACAAGTGAAGCGGTCCCACCTTGCCCTTCTGGTTGTATTGAGGAGCTCCGCCCACCACCTCCACACTACCAGGACTGAGGAAGTGACCGGCTCCAACAGAGTAACCTGAACAGCAGGTAATGGAAAAAATGGAATATAGTCAAAAATCTAATACAAGTACTTGAACACTGAAAAAAGTACAATTCTGATCTATTTGCTTAATTGTTTCCATTTTATATTGCTTTCTACATCACTGTGCTTTTTACCAAACTGTATTTATTTGATAACCAGTCACTAGTTACTTTTCAGATTAAGAGTTTACATAGATATGAGTTTATAAAACACAGCACATTGTTAAAGATTCCCAATATTATTAACGCACGACCCCTTAGAGTCTAGTTGGACCATTGTCTTATCTGCACCAGGACAACTCTGCAGTTTGAAAACACAGTTTTTTCAGAACATCAAACTGAAAATAACTAATTAAGAGTTGATACTCCAAGAAAAGAATGTAAATTAATGTCAAGTCCCCACAAGGGATCAAAGCTTTCAGTGATGTTACTTCCTGTTTGTTAGTGTGGCTTCCATATATAGTGAGTTGAAATGTTTTACATACACACTGTAGACAACACACACTAAAAGCCTATGTTTAATCACAACTCAGCAGACGATATTTTGCAGTCTGAACTGCTGTCAGTCTTATTATTATTACATGTTTTTGTGTCTTTTCTGACATGTTTTCTTCCAAACAGGACCTCCAGCTGAAGAGCATCAACTCAGCTTCCTGTTTAGCTTGTTCAGCACAGGGATGAAAAAGAACCTCAGTTTTACAAACAAGGTTTCTGTAGGGTTCACCATTTCAAATTTAACATGTTGTAATGCCAAAGAGAATGCAATTGACTACCTGTTTCACAGTCTTACTGGTTAATATATATACAGTAAAAGCATTATAAAAATCTAGTGAGGACAATATGGCTTAGAATTATTTATTTCTACATCCCATTGTTTAGTATACAATCATTCTTAATAATATAATTAAATTAATGCAACCTGGATAAAATAAAATGAATGGCTGGATTAGCCAATTAAAAGTTACTAATTTATTTAGCTTTTTGATAAAAATCAGCACTTGCTCACTTTGAGCTGATGAGCTCCTGAGTTACTGTAGCGGCCAGTTGTGACTGTGTTAGCTACAGGTCTGATGGTGCTGACTGCGGCACATTCCACTAACAACACAATTCCACTTTTATGTTAGAGATGTGTAATGTCTACTGATACAATAAACATATTAAAAAAAAACTTTCAGAAATCTGCAGATAACATGTCCAGAACAAAGAGTCAGGTAGAGAGAAAGTATCATAATACAGCAACTTCACCGTGGGATGATGCAGCTGCATCTAAAAATATTTTCTGAAAGGTCAGAAATACCACTGAAACTGAGATAAGTAGCACATGCACAGTAAGACAAACCATGTTCTCTCAGTCCTTTCACTGCACCATCATCCTGCCAAAAACCCCAATCAAAAAACTCTTCAAGCTACAGCTTTTTTGAGCCCTCATGTTATTTTTCAACAGCAGTGGCAATAATTATATATAGATATGAGCCATGAGCGACAGCAACCATTCAAATCATTCTAGCGCAACGTGAATGGTTTTTCACAGTACAGCATGATAAAAGATGTTTACTTTCCTGTTCCTCCTTGAACTATTGGATTATTTTACTATTACCAGAGAAAGCTGGTGACAAGCATCCCTTTGCACCAAGGCTGATGCAAGTTTTACACTATATCAGCAATATAGTATATGACGCAGAAAATACTTTAGAACTCAGACATTTTCCAGAAGTAATATTGCTTCATCTCATTGCAGCAGGTTTCCAAAAATAATACAGTCAGCAATGTTACAATTTCCATGTCTGAAAGGCTCCAACATAAAAAAATAAATCACATTTGAACCTGGCTCAATTCAGCCGTTTCCACTTTGTAACAAGCTACATCAGGCCTATGGAAAAATACTGATACACTTCAAATATGACAGTTTTGGTTGAAACTATGGTCAAGTCAAGGGTACAAATGTGATTGCAGACTACATCCCAACTGTCTTGTTCATCTCGGCTTTATGCAGATATCACACCTTATCTACACAGGAAGTATAGTACAAAGGAAGCATTCAGCTACAAAACTGCTGTGAGCTCATTGTTTTTTGCAAAGCCCAGTGCACGATCACTGTAGTTACATCTGTGTGTCTAAAGAAGGAAAACATTAAGACTAAAAGATGCTTCTGGTCACAGCTGTACTGAATAAAACTGAAGCATATCTGGACAACTAAAACCTGAATCCTGTGTAGACAGTGTCAGAGTTGACCTGTATATCAGCCACTGCAACAAAGTTAAAGACGGGATTTTTCATGCCACACCGCACGCATGGATAAGGGAATATTTCTATCTCGATAAATTACCAGTTTTCTATGTTAGTAGATAAATACTGTTTCAGTCAGCTGTATTGTAGCAGATCTCAGTACTCAGTACAGTATGTAAAGTGAACTTGAATTCACAGGCAGAGAGTGTCTACTGCTGGTAGGAATGCTTCTACCATTAGTAGCATGTGTATCATTCCCTAGGTAGTTGTGTTTAGGAGGCAGTAGTAGTAGCTAGACAGTACCTGTATGTAGCTGTAGCACCATAATAGTAGCAGTAGTGGCTACAGTGTAAATATAGCAACAAATGCATCATTTACCCAGGTAACTTCCAAAGCCGACAGCTCCAGCGTCATCATCCAGGTACACCGACATCCCTCTGCTGGACATGTTGAAGACCAGAACTGAACCTGTCCAATAAGACGTCCCTGGAGCCCCCATGATGATCAGATCCTGAGGGAAAGACACAGATTGAAGAGTTTTTATGACATAATATGACCAATATCTCTATTAAAGCTTTATTATATTTTTTTCCTATAGGTGACATATCTCCAAGCACTACAAAATAATAATGTCTGTAGTGTGCATTGCTTTACAATGGAAGTTGTGAGTTTTCATTTTAGACACAGGTAGGTGACAAGTCTTGTTCTCTTTTCTAAAATGGGATGTCTTAATTTCTACATTTTGACAGCACATAGAGTAACAAGAAAAGATAAAATAAATAAACAGGATCTTAAAGGTGTTTGTTGTTCACTGACCTCTGTCATGAAGTTAGAAATACCAGCCTGACATGATCCATAATCCTCACCAAACTTCCTCTGGTGGTCTGAAACAGACAGACAGACATGTTGGGAGGTGATGGTAAACAAACAAACAAAATAAAACCCAAATGTTTTCCTCCTGCAGATGAACAGCTGCTTGTTTAACACAAATGTACAAACAATGCAAACTGCAAAATTACAAATACATTTTAAAAATAGGTGCATGTCTGAACTTTCCAGGAACTGCAGTGAGGTCTCATTTCCAGTCATTAAGCATCTTGATACTGACACACTGTGTAAAATAGCTATCGCTAATATTTTTTATAAATAGCATATCAAATGACATCGGAAGGTGCCATTTGTAGTGATGAATGTACAGAATAAGCATCTTATTCTGCAGTTCCCCTCTGCTCTACAGAACAGCTCAGTGTTCAACTGTCCGGTGAACAAATGTACTGTTTTGCTCCACTAACTGCTATCACAGCATCATTTTCAAATGCTGCTGGCTAACATTACTCCTTTAAGAGAAAGAGCTCTAGAAACACTGTACACTGTCTGCTCAGCAACAAAACAACAGAGATACAACATTATGGTCTAGCTACTGAACACAGAGGAGCATTTAGTAGCTAAAGAGCCTGTGCCTCCAGACACAGACTTTCTTTCATAAATTTGTAGGCTCAAGCTCTGATGACATCACTATAACACCATCAGGGTTATTTTCTTAGTCTTGTCCAGAGCCACAGTTTACTCCCATGATGAAGAAACTGACCTTTATGTCTGAAATTGATGGTTTCTCTTTCATAATGATAAGGAGACATCTAGCTAAGCTTTCAGAGACTGGGGATACCTTTCCTTCAGACTTTGCTCGACGACAGGCCAAAACTCTGTACAATACTTGTAATACTTGTGAGACCATATTTACTAGCCTCTGAAGTTGTGATGTGATCCAACGAAAAGCCACCAGTTTTTCGAATACGTGAATCAAAGTTAGGCGTCACCCCCTTCCTGAAAATCTGACTCAGCATTTGAAACTTGGGCACAGTGACTACTTCCCCACAGTTTCATGGACACATAATCAGGAGAACTTTATATCTTTGCCTGGAGCAGCTGTTTGAACATGTAGTAACAGTTCCACAGTTAACCAGTGAGCCTGCACATTGATTCCATTTTAACAAAGATTCAAATACATTGCAATCTTTTGAAAAGTACAAATGGAAGTTAAAAGTTTAATATACAGTAGGTCAACCTCATCATCAGTGAGTCG